GCCCCCTCTCCCTGGATCAATCCAGTTCCCYATAACAGTCAAATCAGAACTATTTGAGCAGTACCTGATTAAAAGACAATATAATGAGGTGTTAACACTCTATAGTGTGACACTACAGAGTGTCCCTCAAAGGCTTATGTGTTAAAGGTTTTGGSCACCAGCCTGTGGCACTATTGGGAGGTAGCAGAACCTTTAGGAGATGGGACCTGGTAGAAAAATTATAGGTCCCTGGGAATGTGTCCTAGTGGTGGATACTGGACCYCAGCCCCTTCCTGTCTCTCTCTCTCTTGGCTTCCCAGCTTCCATGAGGTAAATAATTTTTCTCCATCACGTGCAGACATTCCCATCTCTCTTGGAGCCCCCTTGTTTGGCCTGGGTTGGAGGGACACACCCTCTACCCTCCCCAAGTGCTTTCTGCTAGGATGAATGATGAGTCTTGCCACAGATCCCCCAAAGAAATGGGACCAAAGGACCAGAGACTTCTGAAACTATAAACCAATATAAACCTCCTATAAATTGATTTTTTCCAGTATTTTGTCACAGCAACAGAAATCTAACATAAAGCCCATGTTCTGGTTCGACGATGAAGCATCCCMCAAGCATCCTTGTGTTCRTRCAGAAAGTGAAATGATTAGATTATGAGAGCTGTAACCTAATCAGTAGATTGTTCCATTAGATGGATTAATAATTTGAAAGAACAAACTGGATGCTAACTACATATGTGTAGATGGGGTGTGGCTGGAGGAGGTAGGTCACTGGGGACATRCCCTTAGGGATTATACCTTGTCCCCCCTTTTCTCTCTCCACTTCCTGTCCAGCCTCCAGGTCCTGACTGTCACCACCCATAGATCTAAGGGGTCTAGGAAGGAAGCCGTTGCCCACATTGAGTCTGGGGACTGTGGAGAAAGGTCACTCTCCAGGACCTGAGATCTCTGGCTGAGGAACAAGCCAGCTTGCTGGGACCCAAAAAGAGACAATGAATACATAACTTTACTTGCCTCCCTCCCTCCAAATCTTGCTGGGCCTTCTCATTGACCTGACCCAATCAGAAGCCAGAGGGCTGAGACCAGCCACCTGGGGCACAAAGCAGGATGGAGAAAGGTGGACAGGTGAATGAAAGCTGTCCAACTGCATCCCTAGCCAGGGTGGTGCACAAAACAACCCAAACAAGACCAAGGAGGTGGGTGTTTTCCTGTTCTGCAATCTGGCAGACTAACAAAGTTCTAGGCCTATCCGTGGAGCAGCATCACCCTAACACTGTCTCACCACCAAGGGGCTGCTTCCCAGAGCAAGTGCAAATYCAGTCCCAGTGCAAACTCCCAGCAAAGCTTCCCAACAAAGTCAGAGTAGGCATCTGTTGCCAGCAATGAAAGAATTCAGATTTAAACCTGTTATAAAACCTGAGAWAAAAATCTTCATGGGGCTAGCCGTGTTGCTCAGTGGTAGAGTATGTACTTAGCATGCTTGAGACCCAGGGTCCAATCCCCAGCAACAAAAAACAAAATAATTTCATGCATGAGTTGGAGTCTTTCACACACAAAAATAACAATAAYAAAAATGATGATAATCATGGGCAGAGCCAACCAATTGTCAGGAAAACTACGAACCAAGCTCAGGCAAGATTTTACAATCTGAGCCCCAAGCCAGGATCACTTAGTGGTACATAGGCAAAGCCACTACCAATCAACCAGAGACCCTAAGATCCAGGCCACTGGGATCTCCACCACAAGAATASATTTTTTTCCTAATTCTGCTTCTCAAATCATCATCGCCCAAAATGAAGTCCAGGGCAGCGRCTTCTCTGGCTATACCAAGGTCATCTGCCTTATGGGGAACTGCAAGAACACCTGGGGAAGTGAGCATCAGCATTCTAATTAGGAGGGGAGCCCCCCAAACCTGGGAGCTTTGCCATGCTGAGTAGCCAACAAGTAATGTCTTGTAATTCACGTGACCTTTTCAATATGCTCAAGTATGTGATTTTAAACAGTATCTTCAAAGCAGGATTACTGGCTCTTGTGTACTGCCAAATTTCTTTCCCCAAAAAGTTAAATTAGTTACAACCAACAAAGGGTCTGCTTTTCCATGTGTGCAAATATTACYGCTGAAAAGTTTTAAACTATTCTAATAGGTGAATATGATGGATAACTCACAGCTTAATTCTCGTGCTCTCTCTCTTATTTTCCCCGTGCTTTTTACTTTATTGTATTCTCCAAAATTCTCTCATATTTGACTTTGGACACATTTTATTATGTTTTGATAACTGAGGGTTTTTTTCATTATTTTTCTTTTTGTAGTCTTGTACTAAAATTAGCTGGTATTTGCTGAAAGAAGAGATTAGGATTAGCTGTAGTTGCGTTACAAGAAAAAAAAAATCAGAAGCTTAAACTAGATGGAAGTTTTTTTCTCTTCCACATAAGAGAGGCCTAGAGAAGGGTAGCCCAGGGCTGGTCTTGGAGCAACTTCACAAATTCAGGAGGGACCCAGCTCCTCCCTGATCACTTCTGTCATCCTGATGAGAACTCAGCTCCACTGTCCAAGGTGGCAGCCAAAGCTGTGGGACAGGGGGGAGGAAGAAGAGGGGCTAGCCACCTACCTTTACAACACTTCAGTTTGCATCTTATTGGCCCAAACTGAGAAGTGTGACCTCATCTAGCCACAGGGGAGGCTAGACAATGAGCCAGATAAAAATCAGGATCTTATTCTTTAGGACTAAGAGAAGAAAGACATTCATAGGAGAACAATATGATGTTTATAATGATGACAGTGATTAGCTAATCTTTTCTAAATAATTACTATAGTAGGTTAAATACTGTGGGAGGCCATTGATTCAAATGAAGCTCCTACACTAAGCTTAACAGACCAAATCAATATGGAGTTCAACCACAATATCTGAGCCTTAGTTAATTGCAAGAGGCTCTGTAACCAATTAACCAATTGAGCTGTAACCAATTAAGCTGTCTCTACACCACACTTTTGTTTCCTATAAATGTTGTCAGAGTATGTTATTGGAGGGAGTTTTCTGAATCTGCCTTGGTTCTGGGAACTGCCCAATTCACAAATCATTTTTGTTTTGTGTTGCTTTGTTCTCTTTCATTTCTAATTGCTCAAATAAACTCTGTTGAGTTTAATTAGTTTAAGATTTTTCCTCTTGACAAGTAATTGTGGGCACTGTTCTTGGCACCTGACATGTATTATGTAATCCCTACCACACCCCTGAGAGATAGATACTATTACACTATCATTGCACAGAGAAGAAGGCAGGGCACAGAGAGGCTAGGTAACTTGTCCAAGGCTACCCCTAACAGGTGGCAGAACCTGGATTTGAACACAGGTAGCCTGGCTCTAGAATCCCTAGGTCAAGACACAATAGTGAGCAGAGGTATCTTCTACCAACAATCAGAGAATCAAGTTAATGAGGCCAACTGAGGTTCTTCTAAGTGGCTTAGATTATCTACTAACTCAGGGGAGGAGACCTAAGTCAGAGCTACTGTCTCACTTTGCTCTGAATATTTCATGTGTGCATACATTCAACTAATTTTTTTCATGATACATATTATACTTGCAATCCACTATCTGAAGCCTGTGTTTGCTACTGGCTGGGGAGGCAGAAACTGTATCCCCCAACAGTGGTTACAAAGCACAGCACATAGTAGATGCTCAAAAAATACTTGTTCTGAGTGAATTGGCATCAGCCCTACTCTGAGCCAGGCTCTAGGATGGGTGCTGGGCATGCAGATATGAGAAACACAGATCCTGCCCATGGCTTCTCATGGAGAAGAAATGGAGACAGGCGGGCACAGGAACAGTGTAGGCAAAGACACAGGGACCTGATGGTGAGGATTTGGGTGTGACCCGTGTTGTTTAGTTGTCAGAAGCAATAAGCGATAAGATCCTGAAGTCCTGAAGGGAGGCCTGCTGTAGGCCAGAGCCAGACTGGACATTCCTTTCAAGCCCAAGGTAAAAAATTTAGCCTCCGTTCTGGGGCAACAGGGAGCCACTGAAGGCTTAAGCAGAGGAACACGGAGCAGCCATCTAGGGCAACTCTTCTGGTGTGCGGAGGAGGGAAGGAGAACAAAAAAGAAAAAGCACAGAGATCTGTAAAGAAGCTAGAGCAATCAGCAGCCCTGTGGAGAGGAGGGAATGGGAGACAAGGATGGTTGGGAGGCAGAAAGAGATGGAGATTTGATGAAAGGCAAGAAAGAATAGGTGGGCTCTCGGGGTGGAAGAAATAGGAAACTGGTTAAGAGGGGCCTGGGAGCAAGGCTGAGGTGGGTGGGTACCAAAGTGAGGGTTTGGAAAAAGGAAGGAGGGGTGGGGCTAAGAGAAACAACAGTGGCCCAGATGGGAACTGTGGAAGGGGAAAGGAGGGGGCCCAAGTGGCCAGAGCAGGGGAGTGGGGCTGAAGAGGGGCCCTGGCTCCAGCTGGCGCAGACAGAGCATTTGGCCGCCTGCAACCTTGTGCTCATGGCTTAGAAATGTCCCAGTCCTGCCAGGAGACGGCCTGGCCCCTGCTACCCCTGTCCCCCACCAGCCCACGCAGACTCCCACATCAGGAGCCCTCAAGCTCTCCCACCCCCAGTCTTCTGCTCTCCTAGAGTGGGCCCCTCCTGGAACCCAGGCACACCTACACCCCCAACCTCCCCGCTCAGTCCTCCCCCTGAATGGCTGATGAAACAGCCCAGGACAGGAGGGAGAGAATAAACAGACATCTGCAGGGGGCGGCTGTCAGGAAGCGGGGTGGACTGAGGCAGGCTGGGGCCAGCTGGGGGTGCCAGGGGCCCACAGGTCCAGCCGGCCGTTGGCGGCGTGGGATCCAGGCRGCAGTCTGAGCCCGAGCCAGGAGGGAGTTGACTGTCTGGTCTGCAGTGCTCTGCCGACAGGCCTAATGAGACCCAGGTGGTCCCCTGGCCCCTGGTAGTGTAAGCTGATGCTGGTCGTGTGTGGAGGGGGGGTGGTTCTGCAGCTCCGGGAGGCGGGGCTGGGGCGGCTGGCCAGGGGCCCAGCACATAACTGGAGGCAGCTAACAGTCTGGGACGCAGACACCAGCAGCTCTGAGCTGAACTGACAGCATGAAGGTACTGGGACCAGGGTGGGGGGTTCGTGGCATCAGAGGGCCCAAAGCCACTTGGCCACTTGTGGGGAGAAGTCATTTGCCAGAGAGGGGACTGTGAAAGCAGAGGGGAATCTCTGGCAAGAAATTCTTTAAGCTTAAAGGGTAGACAGCCTTTCCTGAGAGTAGGGTTGCTGGGGAAGACAAAGAGGGACCAAAGGACAAGAAAAGGTTTCAGGCAAGGAGTGGCATGTGTAACGGTGCAAATGTAAAGAGAACAGAGGGTGCCTGGGACTGGGGCCAGGGCTGAGCTGACTCTGTTTCCTGCCACCAGGCCCTCCTGGCCCTGCTGCCGCTGCTGCTGCTGCTGCTCTCCACACCTCCCTGCGCCCCCCAGGCCTCTGGGATCCGGGGAGATGGTAAGCAGCCCCCCCAGTCACAGATGCAGCACCGTGACCCATAGGCTGGGCTAGAAGAGGCTGTTCGGAAAGCCAGGCCTCAGCGCTGAGGCCCAGCTCTGCAAAGTTGTTTCCTTCTCCACAAAGTTGGGCAGGTGGATGAAATGATCTTTAGGCAGTCCTCCTCAAATAAATCTCATGATTTCCCACAACAAAGCCCTCTGGCCCCAGGGACTGGGACAAGCCGTGGGTGCTACGGTATTCTCTCTGCTGTAAGCCTCTCTCTTCAYGGTTCCCACACTCTTACTCCTAGCTCTGGAGAAGTCTTGCCTTCAGCAGCCCCTGGACTGCGATGACATCTATGCCCAGGGCTACCAGACAGATGGTGTGTACCTCATCTACCCCTCAGGCCCCAGCGTGCCCGTGCCTGTCTTCTGTGACATGACCACTGAGGGTGGCAAGTGGACGGTGAGTCGGTGGTCCCAGTTGTGGGAGCCTCAGTTTCTTCATTGTTAAAAATGGGGATGATGATACCCAAGGCACAGTTTGTGAGTAGCTGTCACTAATTGCTTAAGATACACTAACACATGTGACCATCACAATAGTCCTGGTAGTTGCTTTTCTAGATGAGGAACTAAAGCCCAGAGGTGAAGTTACTTGCCCTAGATCATGAAGCCAATACCAGATCTCACACCCAGGCACTTGAATTCTAGAATACCCCCCTTTATTTATTTAGGCAATGCTGGGGATTAAACYCACACATCCCATGCTAGGCAAGAGCTCGACCACTGAGCTACACCCCCAGCCCTGATCACCTTTCCTGACTCTCAGGAGACTGCATGAAGGGCCCAAGTAGGTGCCAGTCAGTGCACAGCCGTCCCTCAAAGAGGAGCCTGGTGGCAGTGTGCACCTTGTTTTAACAATCTTTCCAACTCTCAGTCCTTTAATGAACTAGTCTCACATGGCAGGGTCCATGCCTGGGTGGGCAGGGTAGGTCAAGGCCCCCACCCACTGGACCTTCAAATCATTCCCCTTCCCTGTCCTCTCGACTCCAGGTTTTCCAGAAGAGATTCAATGGCTCAGTGAGTTTCTTCCGGGGCTGGAATGACTACAAGTTGGGCTTTGGCCGTGCAGACGGGGAGTACTGGCTGGGTAAGGCCTGGGCCTGGTGGGAGGGGGGACTGCTCCAAAGTCAGGTCCTTGCTAACCAGCTCCCTTCCCCCACAGGGCTGCAGAACATGCACCTCCTGACCCTGAAGCAGAAGTATGAGCTGCGGGTAGACCTAGAGGACTTCGAGAATAACACAGCCTATGCCAAATATGTCGACTTCTCCATCTCCCCGAATGCCGTCAGCGCTGAGGAGGATGGCTACACCCTCTATGTGTCGGGCTTTGAGGATGGTGGTGCAGGTATTCCCTYCTGAAAGCTTTAGCAAGGACTGTTGGGGGAGAGGGCTGGGCCGGCCCCCTCCAGGGCCCTCCTTCAGCCCTCCTGGGCTTGGAAGAGCCACAGCAGGCTCCAAGCCAACTCCAGCCAGTGTGTGCTTCAGCCACCCTGGCCCTGCTCCAGGCAACCCTGTGGAGGAGCAGCTGTTTCTCTGTGCTGCAGAGGCCCATCTACCCAACATGTGGCTCRGAGAGGGTGCCCCTGTCCCACCATAATGCCACGTATGTCCCTCACTGTTGTCACCCTCTCCCTGCTAGCACAGAGCTCAGCTCCCTGCCTCAGCAGTCCCGTCCTTCCTCCTCTCTGCCAGGTGACTCCCTGTCCTACCACAGCGGCCAGAAGTTCTCCACCTTCGACCGGGACCAGGATCTCTTTGTGCAGAACTGTGCAGCCCTGTCCTCAGGAGCCTTCTGGTTCCGCAGCTGCCACTTTGCCAACCTCAATGGCTTCTACCTGGGTGGCTCCCACCTTTCCTATGCCAATGGCATCAACTGGGCCCAGTGGAAGGGCTTCTACTACTCCCTCAAGCGCACCGAGATGAAAATCCGCAGGACCTGAGGGGCTGGCCCCCTCAGGCTCCATTCTTCCCCAGCAACCCCCATCACTATGAATACTCCCTCTGACCTCTGATGCCCTGGGACTCCTATGTTGCTTCTGCTGCTCCCTGAGCACCAGCTTCTCAAGAGGCCTTCTGACTCTCAGCCATGGCTGATCCCTATCACACACCCCGGGGCAAACATTTCTAAGCCAGGCCCTAGGAGCTCCCTTCTACCTGCAGCTAGCTACCAGCAGCACCCAGCCCTTTTCTGAGGTACAGTCACCCAGCCTGGACCTGGCTAGCCTCCATGAGACTGAGCTGACTCCACCTTGTCCCAATAGCTGAGAGCCAGGAGCCACCTCCCAGGAATGCACTTGTGTGTCCCACTTTAGCCAGCTTCTTTACTGCGGGCCCCTGTGTCTGGGAATACTCTAGACCAAGCAGTGTAATCTGACCACCCCTGGGTGTATGCCAGGCCATTCATGCATGACCACTGGCACCCCCTCTGGCTATTTGCAGAGTACCTTCCATCCTTGGCCTCCCTCTCACCAACATTCTCCCCTGTGGTGAACACCATGGACCTCACAACCATACTGCTTCTACCACCTGCCTGTCCCAGCCCCTGCAAAGCTCAATGACAAAACAGTATTCACCACAGGTACTGTACGTCACCCTGAAGTAGACATGGGCAAGGTAGGCATGGAAATGGGGTCCCCCAACTGCCCCCAGGGATTGAGGTTTGGCCACGTGAGAACACAGAGAACAATCTTTGGGGCTGAAAGTGGGCAGGGCAGGCAAGGCTCAGTCATGGACCTAAACAAATTGGCTTTGTGCACAAAAAATATTGCTTGGGTCCCYAACTGGCTCCTCCTTATACCCCTATTGGTGGTATACTGTCCCCATCTCCAAAAATGACACTTGGAGTCAGGCATTAAAAGGAACCTTGTATTTCACAGGCCTCATTTTGATGTCAAAAAGACTGTGTAATAATATTACAATAATAAAAATACAATACTGAAAAGGATTGCTGGGTGGAGTAGGGGTCTCCCAATCCTGTCATGGCTCGGTGGTGGCTCAGGTGGCTGCTTAAGGCTGAAGGGTGGGTCTGAGATGAACCTACAAAATAATCCAAGCTGAGCCTCACCTGCTCCCATGGGCCCTGGAGCTGGGTCCTGGAGCTGGGGGCAAGGCAAAGGCTGTGGGCCTTAGGGCTCCTGGAGGTCAGGCAGATCAGCCAGAAGCATCGGGGAGTCCATCTGAATTTCACGCTGCAGGGACTCGATATCAGCAGGGTTCATGCCATGGCCCTCAAGCCAGTCAGCAAGGAGAGAAGCTGAGAGGGAGGCAGAGTCTGCCTGGCTACAGGGAAAGGGAATCAGGGATGGAAAAGAGAGAGGTTACAGCTAGCCTCAGCCAGCTTTGCACCCATCCCCATCCCATAGGTGAATTCTTCCACACCAGGAGCCCCTCCCCACCGCCCCATTCCAAGAGCTGGATCCAGCCATCTTACCCATCCTGTGGCCCATCAGCCACGCCCATGTCGAAAGATTGGTTTAAGAATTCCTCCAGGTCAAAGCCAACACCATAGCCAGCCCCACTGCCCTTTGGAGTGCCTGAGAACACGGGGGGCAGGGGGTCCTCCACCTGTGGGGGATGTTGGCAGGTTACAAACTAGCAAGGGCAGACTGAGGTGTGCAGGGCACCCTGTCCTGAGGCTGCTGACCACCCTGTTTGGGTATCCCAGTCTCAGTAATCACCAAGTACCAGCTAAGGCCCATCTCAAGACCAGGCACTTTCCAGAAAGTATCTTGTCTCCCAACAACCTCTTCATTGGTATTGTTCCTTCTTCTAGCAAGAGGACAAGTGCAGAGACATAAAAACCCCTTGTTGCTCAGTTTTCATGGAGCAAGGACAACTTCCTGAACCCATTTTCCCTGGGCCCAGATCCAGGTGTCCCCAAGGCTTGGGTCTTTCCTCTCACCTGGGACTTAGACAGCTGCTGGGTCACCAAGTTGACATCGGGTGATTCTGATGTAGAAGGCTGAGGTCCCCCCCCAGGGTCTAGAGGTGGTGGGCCAGATGAGAAGTAAGGCAGAACTCCTGGAGCACTGGAGCCAGGCAACCCAGGGGGTGGCACAAGTGACTGGGGGGCCAGAAGGCTACTGGAGGTGGCAGTCTGGAGTGCAGCAGGAATAGGTATGGGTCCTGGAGGGCCAGCAGGGTGGGAAGCAGGACAAGGAGGTGGGCAGGGAGGCTGGGGTGCAGGACCTGTGGTGGAGCCTGCAGGTTGTGGAGGAGGACCCGTGGGCTGGGCTATGGGACCAGGGGGTGGACTGGTGGGCTGGGCTGGGGATAGCCTTGTTGCTGGGGCTGGGGCTGGGGCTGGGGCTGGGGCTGGGGCTGGAGCTGGGGCTGGGGCTGGAGCTGGGGCTGGGGCTGGGGCTGGAGCAGGGGGCTGGGCCATGCGAGTCCAGCGCTCTAGCAGGCTTCGATCATTGTCACTAAGCACTAGTCCAGCCAGGGGGTCAGTGGAAGGGCCCCCCGAGGTCCCAGCCCCCCGCTCCTTTCGCTCCCGCTCTTGCCGCCGCTTTTCCCGCTCCTTGGCTCTCTCTTGCCGCCTCCGCCGCTTCTCCTCACGTTCTCGTTGTCGCTCCTGGGCCGTCACTGGCTTCCTTGGCTCAGGAGCCTCCAAGGGTGCACTAGGGCCATCTACAGGGAAGTTGAACAGGTAAGAGGTAAGAGCCTGTAGCCATGTTCAAGCCAGAGCCCCCCACTAGCACCTCACTCCCCAGCCAGTCACTATACCCATAAGGTACCTTTCAGCCGGCTCCGCAAGGACTTGAGCAGGGCAGCTTTGAGGGCTGCCTTGGTATTGTCTGAGATGGCACCCTCTTTCTTCGGTGGGGCAGGTTCACTGGCTGGTGGAGGTGGCTGCAGGGTCAGATCAATGGTATCAGGTGCAGGGCCAGGGCATGGTGGTGGGGCTGGTGGGGGTGACTCCATGGCACAGTCCCCACTGGGAGCCCAGGGACTGGGCATCTCAACATCTGGACAGCCAGGCTCACTGGCCACAGGCTGCAAGGAAGGCTGGAAGCGGATCTGTTGGCGGATGCCTTCCCTTCGTGCGTGGAAGTCCTCAATCTCTGCCACAATGGCCTCCTTAATGCGTTCCCGGGTAAGGGCTTCACGGTCAAAGGCAAAGTCAAAGGGTGGGGCACAATCAGGCTCATCATCAGGGTCATGGTACTTGGCCAGGAAAGGATGGCGAAGAGCAGCAGCTGCTGAGATGCGGGCACTGGGTTCAAAACGCAGCATGCGACCCAGCAGTGAAAGAGCCTGGCGGTCAGCACCTGGGTACACTGTCTCCCAAGGCACAGGCTGGCGTGGTGGCAGGCTCTGGATATAGGCCCGCACCCTTTCAGCCCCGACAGCTTGAATCACAGTTGGCGATGGGGTACCCAACACCATCATAATCAGTTGAAGCTGGTGCACATAGTTTTTGCCTGGGAAGAGCTGGCGCCGGGCAAGCATCTCGCCAAAGATACAGCCCACAGACCAGAGGTCGATAGCCTGTGTGTACTCATGCAGGGACAGCATGAGCTCAGGGGCCCGGTACCAGCGAGTAGCCACATACTCGGTCATGAAGTATTGGTGTTCAGCAGGGGAGGTACACAGGCCACGGGCCATACCAAAGTCACCAATCTTTAGCTCACAGTTCTCATTCACCAACAGGTTAGAGGGCTTGAGGTCACGGTGGATGACCTGAGCCGAGTGCATGTACTTGAGGCCCCGCAGCAGCTGGTACAGGAAGTAGCGCACATGCTCCAGTGTGAGTGGCTGTGAGGAGTGGATAATCTGGTGCAGGTCGCTCTCCATCAGGTCCAGGACTACATAGCTGAAAAGGAAAAGGTGAAAGAGGCATGTCCTAGCCTACCCACACCATAGGGACAAGCCCCATCCTCACTAGCCCCTCCTGACTCTAGACAGACCATGTTACCCTGGGACCCCAAAGAGCTGACAGCATGGTAAAGAAGCAGCAGCACACCAGATTCTAGATTGCTCTACAACTTTTCCATGAACTTGGTTAAATCACTTTTCTCCCCAGATCTTCTAGTTTCCCCATAAAAGATGGGGTTCAACTATATCAGGGCTGGTGAGTAGGTTTAGTTTTGGAGAAAACCCCATTGTTTGGTAGTGGCTGCTTGAAGTACTATGTTGAAAATTGTGAAGATTTGTCCATTTTCTGTAAGAAAGTATTCTGTGATCAATCTGCTATAGGGGTAGGAAGATGCAGTAGTAGTATGAACATCTTATGTCTGCCCTCCTATATAGTCTATAAAACTGTAACATTTGTACTCTTCTTGAAGAGTAACAGCAGTCCCTCAATATACACTAAAGGAGCACTGGTCCTGGAACCATGGGAATTTTCTAGCCTGTCCTTCCAGAATTTTAGCAATAAGGTCCCTGCCTTCTGAAACAGTCCCAATTATGCCTCCCTTTCCTATCCCACTCCTTACACAGATTTGAATTCTCCATAGGGTACAKTGGGCCTCAGGATGTCCTTGATAGCAATGATATTGTCATGTTTGAAGTGTTTGAGGATCTTCAGCTCCCTGAGGGTCCGTTTGGCGTTGGTTACCACATCAAAAGCATTCGGGATCTTCTTGATGGCCACCTGCTGGCCTGGAGAGCAGGGAAAAGGCAGATACCAGAGGGTACCTTGGAGGAACTGCAGACCCCTCTCAACACCACCCTTCTAGGATGCAAATAACAACAGCTATCATATACTGAGTTCCTGCCATATGCAATGAACTTGCTAAGTACTTTACATTATCAAATTTTACCTTCACAACTATCTTACGAGGCATGAACTAATAGCTCAAAGTTACAGATGAGAAAACTTGGCCCAGTAACTTGTAGATTGCACAGTTAGTTGGTGGGAGTGCTAGCTCTAATGCCTGGGCTCATTATCTCTCTCTACACTTTCTCTCCATGTCAGATCTCACCATTCCCACCATGCAATTTCTTGTTCTGGAACACAGCTCTCTTTTTGACACCAAGGAACAAGCTCTCCATCTTGACCTAACCGGACTATCATTTTTCTCAGGAGAAATGGGCTGAAAGTATAGCAAAACCAGAGTTCCTGAAAATGGTGCCTAACTGGGATCCTGGCACCTAGTCAGTAAGTGCTGAATTGAACAAAAATTCACAGCCCAGCTTTCCTTCCTGGATGGCTGAGATCGGGCAGGTTTCTCACCACTTCTGGGAACCAGTTTCCACATCTGTGAGAGGCTCAGGAAGCTCACCCGTGAGGCGGCGGCGAGCAGAGGACACCACCCCATAGGCTCCATTGCCTATGGTCTCGATGATCTCGTACTCATCCCCCACGTCAAAGGTCACATCAAAGGAGCGGGCTTTGAGCAGAGCTAGGTTCTTGGCCGCAACAGAGGCAGAGGTATGGACGGGTTCTGCCTTCACCGGCCCGGGGGGCTCCCCRGAGCCGTCCTCGCCGTCTTCCTCCTTTAGGGGCTCGGCCATGATGCCTATATGGAGACGCCTGGTGAGGAGAGGTCCGCCCCCCGTCGGCCTCAGTTTCCCCTCTGTGAGCTGGGAAGCAGAACCGGAGAATCTCTAAGTTCCCCAAACCGAGCACGGGGGCAAAGGGGGCAAAAGAGAGAGGCTGGCAAGTAGCAAGCATCCTGCAGCAGGAGTTGGAACCCCGAAGCCCAGAGGCCAGGTCGGGGTCCGAGTTGGGGGAGGGTGCGGTACGGTCCAGGAAGAAAGGGAGGGGCGGGGCACTCGGGTTTCCTCGGGGCCAGACTCACCCAATGGCGCCTCACCCTCACGCCTCCTCAGGACTTAGACTTATGGAGGTCCCGGGGCTCGCCAACCTCCCT